AAGTGTCCATCAGTAGATGAATGGATAAAGATGTGGTACATATACACAATGGAATATTATTCAGCCATAAGAAGAAAACAAATCCTATCATTTGCAACAACATAGATGGAGCTAGAGGATATTATGCTCAGTGAAATAAGTGAGGTGGAAAAAGACAAGTATCAAATGATTTCACTCATATGTAAAGTATAAGAACAAAGAAGAAAACTGAAAGAACAAAACAGCAGCAGACTTACAGAACCCAAGAATGGACTAACAGTTACCAAAGGGAAAGGGACTGGGGAGGATGCATGGGAAGGGAGGGATAAGGAGGAAAAACGGGCATTACGATTAGCAGACATAATGTAGGGGCGGGGCACAGGGATGGTGGTACAACACAGAGAAGACAAGTAGTGATTCTATAGCATCTTACTACGCTGATGGACAGTGACTGTAATGGGGTATGTGGTGGGGACTTGATGATGGGGGTAGTCTAGAAACCATAATGTTGCTCATGTAATTGTGGATTAATGATACCAAAATAAAAATAAAAATAAAAATGAAAAAATTCAATAGAATTTTCATTAAAAATTTTCATTTAGTATGAAATTTCAGTGAGAAAATACAAAATCATTACCAACTGATGGTAGTAGTGAATACTGAATTTAAGTATACAAAAAATGATCTAGCTTTATAGTTACGATCTTTTTCTAGAATTCTAGCAAACTAGAATTAAGAAGCACACTCACAAAGTTAACAGCAGAGGCAAGAAATACAGAGTATACAAACACATATCTACCAGAAGTTTAAATTAGAAATGTGAGCCAAAATTAATTAGATAAAAATGGCAGAGAATTTATATGGGATGTTGACACACCACCACTACCAATCCATAGATTTTCACTATTCCTTAGGAGTCACAAAAAATAAAACTAGAGCAAGGGAATGGCCAGCTTTACGAATCTACAAGCAGATGAAAAGTCTGCCCTTCTGTGATCAGTATGCAATGCTAGAGAGGGTCAATGTCCCAGCCAAGTAGGGTAGGAGAACTCCATTCTAAGTAGAAAACAGGGACCACTAGAAATGCCAACAAACAGTACAGTACAACCAGACCCACAGTGTGAAGGTTGGAGGGAATGGCTGCAGCTCAAGGAGCACCTAAACCTGAAACATAGCCTATGCGTTACTGGAGACAGCTGGCAATAAGGAGCTTGTTAACATGTGTATCTGCTGCCATTTCCCTGCTGGGACTTACACATCCCTTCCCTCCTTTCCTCCGGCCTGTTGTTCCTCTTCCTTTTCACTTTCTTCACAGAATTTGATTTTCTGTAGATGACTGAAAGGTATGACCACGAAAAGAGAATTGAGGTACTACTCCCTTTTTATCCTCAGGTCATTTCCCTTCGCTTAGACTCCTGCATTTTTTCTGTAATATTTTCCTCACTGCTTTTCTTCTAGCCTGCATGTTGAATTCAAGATTTCTGAGACACCACAAAGACAAAAGAAAAAAAAGTTTTGACCTCTATTGTCACCTGTATGTAAAAATGTATATCCTGCCCACTTCATACTCATTGGGATGGCTACTACCACAAACACAGATAATACCAAGTGTTGTCAAGGATGTGAAGAAATCAGAACCCTTGTACACTGTTGGTGGGAATGTAAAATGGTACAGCTCCTGTGGAAACAGTATGGCAGTTCCTCAAAAAATTAAAAATAGAATTACCTTGTGACTCAACAGTTCTGTTTGAGTAGGCAGACAGCTAGATTTAAGCAGGGAGACGGAAAGGGACTTCAGTTGGATGCTTGTTTACATTCTACACATTCTGCGCAAGCTGTTCTCTTGAGATATGGAGTGAGGATGTAAGAAACAGGCTGGCTAAAACCAGCAGGTTCCAACATAGAGGAAAAATTGACCCAACCTTCACCCCAAAATCCATTACGCAGTAAAAATCATGCCTGTCGTTAACATAGTAAAAACCACACCTCCCCACACCAGGACAATTCCCAAGAGAATCAAATACAGCCAAAAATCCTTCCACCTGACATGAGGGTAGAGCAAAGCTGAACTCTGGAAAAACTCTATCTGTCCCCTTTGAGACCTAATCCCACTTAGTGAATATCATCCCCCTTCATATAAAAAAGGCTCCCTATTGTTTCCTCAGTATGAGTCTCTCCACGTCTGCCCACACCCCAAACTCACCCCAACTCTCCATGTACTCTTGTCTTTCTCTGAATTTTTGTCCTCCAAATAAACTCTTAATGCTCAACTGCTTTTTGTGTCTGTCCTTGAATTCTTTCTCACAAGGAGACAAAGGACCAGTCTCTGGTAACAATTCCTCCTCTGAGCATATACCCAAAAGAATTGAAAGCATGGTGTCAACAGCCTTATTATTCCCAGTAGCTAAAACATGGAAGCAACCCAAGTCTGATGACAGATGAATGCATAAGCAAAATGTGATATATACATATATAATGGAATATTATTCAGCATTAAAAAGAAGGAAATTCTGAAGATACAGAAGCAACCTAAGTGTCCATCAATAGATGAATTGGATAAAGAGGTGGTACACATATACAATGGAATATTATTCAGCCATAAAAAGAAATTTTCCCATTTGCAACAACATAGATGGATCTAGAGGGTATTATACTCAGTGAAATAACCCAGGTGGAGAAAGACAAATGCCATATGGTTTCACTTATTTGTGAAGTATCAAAACAAGACAAAACAGAAAGAACAAAACAGCAGTTGACTCAGACACCAAAAAGGGCTAGTGTTTGCCAAGGGGAGGGGTTGTGGGGGTGAAGGGGATAAAGGGGCACAATGATTCATAATCACAATGTAAGTTGCTCATGGGGACGGTAGTACAGCATAGAGAATATAGTCAATGATTCTGTAACATCTTCCTACGTTGATAGATAGCAACCACACTAGAGGGGGTAAGGATTTACTAATATGGGTAACTGTTGAACCACTGTGTTGCATATTTGAAAACAACATAAGACTGTATTTTTAAAAAAAAGAAATTCTGACCTATGCTACAACATAGGTGAACCTTCAAAGACATTATGCAGACTGAAATAAGTCCGTCACAAAAAAAGACAAATACTGTATGATCCCACTTATATGAGATCCTTAGTCAAATCATAGAAATGGAGAGTAAAATGGTGATTGCCAGGGGCTGGTACAGAAGGGTCAGGGGGTAGTTATAGGGAATTATTGTTTAATGGGTACAGAGTTGCTGTTTCATAAGATGAAAAGGGTGATAGATGTACAACATTATAAATGTATTTAATATCCTTGAATTGTATACTTTAAAATGGTTAAGATGATAAATTTTGTAGGTATTTTACCACAGTAGAAAAAAATGAAAAAATATATATACCCTGCTTAAAAGCAAGAATAGAGGTTAATGATAAAAGTGATTTCACTTTTCCTGCCTCCTCCACCAATATTCCATATTGGGTACTACCATTTGTTGTTCAAATTGGAATATTCACCATTTCCTGAACTTGCTCTAGATTTTCCTGCCTCAACCCTGCTATTTCTTAACCTAGAATGCCCTATTTGCTGCCCCTCACTTCAGCCTAAAATATTCTACACTTTCTTTAAGAGCAGCAAAAATGGAATCTCCAAGAAACCTGCCAAAAAGAACTAGTTCCTCTTTTCTGTCCACAGTAGCTTACTCAGCCCTCTATTTGAAAATATTGCAGTGTCCTTCCATAGTGATTATTTGTGTATGTTCTCTTTTATTGCAGATGTACATTCTATCTCCACTCAAAGTCTTTTTGCTTTAAAATCACATTTGCTTCTTATGGATCCGTAAGAATTAGCAAGGCATACCCAAGCGTTGCTTACAAGGTTATGAAACTGGGAACTAAATGTCATCTAGAACCCACAGTGTCACACAATCAAAGGCTTTCCCTCTTGGTACCTCAGGCCAGTCAGCTATGCAGAGGCTGCTCTACTCCCAACACCAAGAGAGACACGCAGCTCTTCAACCCCGAATCACTGAGAAAACTGAAGCATTCCATCTATAGGCAGAGGACTGAAAGCAGTGAGAGCAATGCCTGTATATAACCAGCAATGTATTTAAAAGAAAGTAAGAGAGTTCCCAGGCAATCTCTTCTCTGGATATCCTGCATTTTTTATCTCCTAACAAAAGAGAATCAAAAATATTGTCTATCTGGAGAGAAGTTAACCCCCAACGTTTGGAGATCCTAAGACATTGCCTGCACATGCACTTCTGACTTCCAGACCTGCAGTCCCCTATTTTTCTAGTATGAACTGATAATGTGCTTTAAGCGTAAAATACACACCATATTTCAAAGACCTAAGTAATATAAAATACCTTAGTATTTTGTATACTGACTCTATGTAGAGAGATAATACTTTGGGTTAAATAAAATATATTAATCTCACCTGTCTTATTTTTTTAACGTGGCTATTAGAAAATTTTTAATTACATGTTTAGCTCTCATTCATTTCTATTGAACAGGCTGACTTACACTTTTGACTTCAAGCTGGTAAACATGCTCTCTTAACCAAATTGTTGACTATTTGACAAGGATTCATTCCAGCCAATCAACCCTTATCCCTGCAAACACTGGTTCACTTTAACACTCCAGACTTCCCCAACCAGAAAAGCTGACGACTTAATGGCTCTTAATTTTTAAAAGTATGGAGCTCACACATCCGCCGAAGCAAATCGAAATTGTTATCCACACAATAAATAAGTGTTTTGAGGGGTAAAAAAAACCGGGGGCGGTTGCGGGGGAGGCCTCCTTTCCCGTAGGTGTCGGTCAGCATTGCTGGAGTGCTGGAGCTTGGGCAGAAGGGGGTCACCCTTAAGTAAGAAGAGGCGACAGAGCCAGCACTCCGATCTGAAGGGGTGTAATGTGGCGCCCGTGGAGCACGGGTGGGCAGAGAAAAGCCTTTTCCAGCTTCTGTGAGCACGAGTCTTAGGGCGGCGGGGAAGGGCTGCGCTTCCCGGCAACGGTGGAAGGAGGGGAGGTACCTTAAGAATCCACCTCATCTTCGCCAGAAAGGGGCGGAACTCCTCGGACGGCACGTCTGGATAGAGCTGGCTCCGCAGCAGCTCCTCCGTGATGTCTGAGTGCCCGTGAAAAGCTTCCTGGGCCAGGCCGCTCAGCAGACCGCTCAGCGGTTTGCAGCCCTCAAGCTCACCCGCCATGGTGAACAAGGGCCCCGCCCCCCAACAGCTGAGCGCGGCTCAGCCACGGCGGCCGAAAGGGCCCAAATACTCCGGGCAAAGGCGCGCGGAGAAAGAAGGCGTGGAGTCCCACCAGGGTGGGTTCTCTACAAATCCATCCTCTTAGGTTGCCACCAAGGAGGTGTCTGTTCAGTTCCAGATCACTTTGCTTTATCTTATTTCCTTCGTCACGCCAGTGCCTACTCGGAGAGATCACTTGGTGGAGGTTCATTCGAGATGGGGTAACATCTAACAAAGACAGTTAACTTTTAGGGATATTGCATCCCATTCCCGGCCTTCCTAATCCACTAACAGGATCCATCACTCAGTCCGATCTTTGCCTAATTATTAGCTGTCTACCTTTTGTCTGAGAAACTTTATCCCCTGATAACATAATGTGTTTGTTTGCATTGTTACATTTGTGTCTGTCTGGTCTGCTCAGCTAGATCAGTGGCTGTGATCCAGTGTTCCTTTCTATAACAAATATTTTGTTAACACCTTCTTTACTTTCCTGAAATGAAATGCATAAATAATAAAACTTATACCCGCGTAATTTCAAAAATTAAATGTATTATTCACCCATAAAAAGAAATGAGATGATACATGCCACAACATGGATGTACCTTAAAAACATGTTAAGTTACAGAAGACAAAAACAAAGCCAAATATTTCATGATCCCATTTATACGAAATGTCCAGAGTAGGTAAATCCATAGAAACAGAAAGTAGATTCATGGTTGCCAGGAGCTCAGGGAAGGAGGAATGGGGTTGGTTAATGGATACCAGATTTCTTTTGGGTATGATGAAAATACTATAGAATTAGATAGTGGTTATGGTTGCACAACTTTAATGTACTAAAACCCACTGAACTGTATGCTTTAAAATAGATGGAGGGGATAGAGACGCACACAATCTCAGTCATAATATAAGTTAGTCACTAGGATGAAAGTATAACATAGAGAAGATAGTCAATATTTCAGTAACATCTTTCTATGTTGACAGATAGTAACCATACTATGTGGGGTAAGGATTTAATAATGTATAAAACCATTGAATCACTATGTTGTATACTTGAAACCAATATAATATTTTATATCAACAATACTTCAATTAAATAAATAAATAAAAAGCTACCCTTTTATAAAAATGAAAAAATAAAAAAGGATGAGTGTCAGTGTGTGAATTGTATCTCAATTTAAAATTTCATATAACAACCTAATTGTAATTTAGAATAAAAACAAGAGGAAAGCAATTCATATATGCATTTCAATGTGTAAGTGTTTGGGCACAAATACAGTAGGTGACTAGGATTCATATGAAGTAACCCCATGCCTGCATCTTTATGTAGAACCACCTGTGACTTCTACAAATACAAAATGATATAAGGGTACTGTACTGGTAACTCTAGAGAGAGAGCAGTTGTTACTGGTAACATGATGTTCTGAAATGTGAACAAAGGTTGGTAAAGTTCAGAACAGAACATTCCCTCACTTTACCCAATAATTGCAAACCAGGAATGTTCTGTATAATATTAGAGCCACATGAAAAATCCACTGTGTTTATATATTCCATGGAGTTAGATTTCAGGCTCAGACAGTAACAAACACGTAGGTTTTTCACCTACATGAATCTTACATGGCAGGATCTTATACCCTGGTCTTTGTCCTGGGCCAACCCTCCCCTTCCATGATTCTGACTTCTGAAATACTCCTTTCAAGGTAGTGTCACCTTGTTGCATCGGTGAGAATCACTGATCTAGACTGCTGTAATTAATGTTTATTCAGTGTTTGCCTGAAGTCAACAGACATTCTTTATAGTAGAAAAGATATAAAATATTCTTTCCCAAAAGGAATTAATTTCCTAAAGGCAAAGTAAGAGATGCTTTTATAGACCCAAGAAAAGCATACCTAGAAATAAACCATACACTGTGTTAAGTGTGCGCAGGAGTTGTGGAGTGGCCCACATAAGAGGAAAATAAAAGGGTTATGAGTGGGAAGAAACAGTACTATTAAGCTCCTGGCTTCCAAATTACCCACCAGAAAGGTTGTACCCATTTATTTTCATGAAACTTCACTAACACTAACTAGTATTATTCTTTATAATCTTTGCCACTTGATACATGAGAAATATCATATTATTGTCTTTGTTATTTCTTAAATTTTAAGAGTGAATACTTTTATAGGTAGATGATGGATGGATGGATGGATGGATAGATAGATAGATAGATAGATAGATAGTATTACTTCCCATTTCCTTGATAATCCTCTACTCTATAGGGGTTTCTGTCAGTTCAGTGATTTTTGAAAGCTCCTTAGACATTTGGAATATTAATGTTTGTTGCCTATACTGCAATATTTTCCTTGTATTTATATAGTTGAATCTATCAACCTGCATAGAAAAAAATATGAAAGGTTATTCAACAATATGGTTATAGAGTATATCTTTGAGTAACTGAGGATGGCTTTTTTTTTGCTTCTTTCTGCTTACCTGATTTTTTTTTAATACCTGTAGAATACATGTAATACTTTTGTAATAAAAAGTTATGTAATGAAAAGCTAAAATAAGTAGTATGTCCTAAAATCAAAATTATTTTAATGAAAAGCCTCAAAGAACATATGTGCTCTACATGACTGAGAAAAGCCATTCACCTTGCATAGCATTTCTTAAATATTTTGATAACATTAGATGATTTCAGAATCTGATAGAAGCTGCAGATAAATGTAAATGCACATCAAATGTAGCCTACAGTATCTAGGGGTTAGTGTACCCTCTGAAGTTTTCCCATAAAACTCCTACTTTTCCTCTGGCCCTACAAACTCCTTCCTGGTATTTCCAGTTCTAATTAATCCTCACAAGAAATAGATTACTCTTAGAAGCTGGAGGAAATACTGGATATCACTATCATTGTTTAACTCTTTTTCCAATGTATTTAATACCTGGACATACCGTTGCCTGCCTGAGTCTACAGCAAGTTCCAATCACCAGATACTGCAATATAAGTAACAAACATTAATATTCCAAATGTCTAAGGAGTTTTCAGAAATCACTGAACTGACAGAAACCCCTATAGAGGATTGTGAATCAATAAAAGAAAATCATCCCATGCCACCAGGGCTGCTGTTGCCAATACAACTGCTCAAGGTTGGTAACATTTTTTATAATACCTTTCAAACAAAAGGATCAAAGCACAAAAGCTTTATTAATTTCAAAATACATCCTGTTCCACAGATAAAAAGCCTGGACACAAACCTATTAAAAGAATTGCCAAAGGCAAGGCAACAGCGAAGAAAAATCCCTGAAGCCTAGGCTCAAATGAACACTGCAAGCACCTAGCAACAGCCCACCTGCAAACCAGATTTCCTTTTCATTATGGGCCAGATAGACTTCCATTCTAGGTTCCATTAAGCAACTGATCACTTCTATTAAACTATTCCTTTTGGAGTTCACAGGCTGTTTGGTCCCTGGCCAGCAGTGTTTTTGTAATGTTGTCCATATCTGAAAATGCTAAAACAAAAAATGTAGACTGAAATAATATGCAGCCACAAGGGTCCCAAAGTTTTGCAATAAACTCTCCTTGCTCACTGTCTCTACTCCACCTGTTATGGTTCTACTTATTATCATTCACTTTCCACTCAGCCAGCCACTCAACAGATATTAGTAGAGTACATCATGCCTGTTATTCTGCTAGGTTCCATATTTCCATGGATATGGAAATGAGTAAGATAGTCTCTGCTCTAAAATCTTACATTCTGGTTAGGGAAAATGATATATAAATGAAGGGTAGCAGAATATGCCACCCTAAAACATTCCACTTTGACATAAGGATTATTTTGAGCTGAAGGCACCTAAGAAGTCTTATATATATAAGAAAAGCTTCTAGCCATCTGTAAGTCTGGGGAGAGAAAATACTGGGGCAAAATACCTCTAAAAGCAGAAATCAGTCAAAGGGAGAAATAAAGTTTAAAACCTGTTTATTGCTTACAAACTGAGGTCGGGGCCTTCTCTCTTTCCTGCTCTAGCAGAAGCAAGACCCGCCCTCTCCTCACCTCTCAGGTACAGATAAGCCCTGCTTGTCCAGGTAATTACCCATTGATATGGAGATGAACTTCTCTCCACCCCTGAGGAATGATGCAAATGCACTAAAGCCATACTTCTCTCCACCATTGAGCGCCTGTTGATATGCAGATGTACTAAAGCCAGGTGAGATATTCTGGAAATATTACAATTTTCCCCACAGGCCACCCCTCCAGAAATCTCATCCTACAATTTACTCGTTGCCTCTCTTCTGACCAAACTATAATGACATACAATAGCAACAGCAATAAAATCATGATAATCATCAAGCCAAACGATTCAGCTTATACAGGTTAAGTAAATGTACTTTACAGCACAATCTCTAAGCACAAAATATGTTTCTACACTTGTTTACACATTCCTAACAACCATGCTAGATTACTCAGAAAACTTTCACCAAACATTAGACAAAGTCAAGCCTCTCTTTAAGAATTTTTTTCTTGACAACAGCAACACAATTATAATTCTCAAACCAGAGGACTCAACGAGGTTCAGAGGTTCAAAGTCCCATGCAGATTAAGTCCAAAGCTCATCCATTCCAGCCATCACGTAGCAGCTGCAGCCAGGGGGGCATATCCAGGACACAAGGACTTTAAAAGCAAATAACCATGATTTGGGGAAGCCACTTTGCTGTTATTCCAGGAATACACAGGAGGCCAGCTTCCTGGCCTTTTCTCCAAGGTGCCAGAAGAGCCAGCCATCACCTGTCCATGTGTCAAAATGTCCAGGGACATTTCCATTTTATTCCTAATTGCTGCACCCATCCTTGCAACGCATGTCCAATAAAATGGGTGCCTTGATCACTCTCAGTCAATGGTGATGAGCCACAGGCTGCAAAGAGATGCTCTAGGCCCCTCTTGGTGGTTTGCTGATCTGCACAACGTTCAGAGAACTCCTTTCAGGCTCAGATGACGTCTTCAAAGGTCAGTGGGAAGCCCCACCA